GATAAATAAAAGACCTAAGCTTTGGTATAAAATAAACTTAAAGCAAACAAAAGGAATCCGTCCGACGGGGGACACATCAAAAGGAAAACAAAATTGTTATTTTTATTTAATTCCGAGCATTTTCATATTTATCTACCTTTTAAACCTTCTCTGGACTTCCACAAATAATTCAAGACTAAAATTAACCAAATCGGTCCAGCGGTTCTCGAGTTTTAGCGAGACTAACGAACAGCAATTCATTTTTATATATATAGAAGATAATAGATATGCGCTGTATTTGCGGTGATTTGTTCTAACCAGGAACATACGCTCGAAAAACGAACAACGAGGATATTTCATTCAGTGTCGTTTTATTTCCACTCCGCGATGTGGATGTAGATGTACTCCACGGTCGTAGTGAGAAGAAATGCGTGCGCTGACTGCCTGACCTAAAAATACGAGGAGGGGACAGCTAGTGATAATTGTTATAGTGCAAAAGACAAGACGATCGTTGTATATGTATCGAGCGACTATGCCAGTGTTAGAATCTCAGAGAGGTACCAATTTTTCTTACAAAATACAAATGTATACATTCACAAATGACTTCCGCGGTAATGGAACAACATTGTGTTATACAATCAAATACGAAAAGAAAAATTATAATCTAATTATAATACAACTGAGACTTAAATCTCAAGCTGGGTGACAGTATTTATCTTAAAAAAAAAGTGCTATAGAAATTAATACAAATAAACATAGCTTTTTGAAAAAACGAACTTATTTGTTTTAAACTCTACTTAATACGATCTACTTCATCATAAATCAGTAACAGCATCTGTGTCCTTAAGTTTTGAATTATACACCGAAACGTTTCGAGTCACAACTCATGATGCAGAATAAACTTTACGTGAAGTTTGTTTATCTGTACAAGAGCACCATCTTGGAAAATTAAGATAAACTTTGGAAATATGAGTTTTGGAAAAAATAATTTTTTTATTTTTTATTGCTTAGATGGGTGTACGAGCTCACAGCCCACCAGTGTTAAGTGCTTACTGGAGCCCATGGACATCTACAACGTAAATGCGCCACCCACCTTGAGATATAAGTTCTAAGATCTCAGTATAGTTACAACGGCTGCCCCACCCTTCAAACCGAAACGCATTACTGCTTCACGGCAGAAATAGGCAGGGCGGTGGTACCTACCCGCGCGGACTCACAAGCGGTCCTACCACCAGTAATAAATAATTAAGTAAATAATTGTTACACAGTTAAATGCGTCGTCTTTAGTATTAACAGAAACTTACAAAAATCGGCGCACGTTGGTAATCTATTGTTTGTCGCTCATGATGAAAAAAAATTAACTGCTTGAAGAAACAGTGTTCATATTTTATATTCTCAATTCTCGTATACGCGAAAATTAAACGTCACATTTTGTTGCAGATACAGATACAAATTCTAAAAACATTTGCAAAACAAAACTTGCAGGAATCTCGAGAAGGACCGTAAAATTACTATGCTTACTGCCCAATGTTTCATTGCGTGCGTGCCTAGCCATCGCGGACCTCACTCAAGCTTGAAAAGATTACACATTCTGTAGTACAGAAAGGGTGGAAAATATCACTACCTGCAACGACTGGTAAACAGTGAAAAAAAGGAAGGGATAGTAAAAAAAAACACGTTCTTGATTTACGTTTAAGTGGTCTGCAAAAACTTTGTACTCATTTTTATGAAAATTGCGCGGACGGAAGTGTATGGAATTTCCCACACTTATAGAGAATATAGAGAAAGAGTGCAGAATGCAAATCTTTTTTTTTAAATTATGCATTAAAAATACTTTAAATCAATAAGAAAAACATTACACACACTACCATATATTTGACACACACTCGCGCATATATGCTCTTTTGTCAAACTTTTTTTATTGTTTAAAGTGGTCTAAAGTCTGTACTTAAATTTAGATTAGATTAATATTGTTTATCTTTAATATTATTTGTCTATAGTGTAACCTTGGCGAAATGTGTGATTATAAAAGTGAAGTCTTTGACAATAGAACCATAATGATGTTCAAACTTATAATTTAAATTAATGATTATGATCGAATTTCGTCCGTTGGGCGATCACTAGTTTATGTAATGTTTTGCGACTGACTAACATGATAGCACTAGTTAATTTAACGACTAGTTAATTTAACTGTAGGCCGTTTTGTCAAATTTTGGTAAATTGAAGTTAACAGTGGATAGTTCTAAAAGGAAACGCCATAAACCTAAGAGATAGATAGATAGTGGATAGTTAGTTATAACATGTACCATACATGGCCGTGGAATAAATAAGTGAAGGATACTTAATATACATTTTGTATGAACTATGATATTCCTGTTATTGGATTTTCTTATATGATGCATTTTAGCAAATAAAATGTGAAAATAAAATTGGAAACGTTTTTTGAACCCATGTTCAAATGTAAACCCATGTCACTTTGTTAACATTAATATAATAGGCAAATATATTATAATACATAAATTTATTTTACTAACATCAATCTACACATGGCAGCATAAATTTCCTTTTTGTTTTTCGTTTGATGGATTTTAATTAGGGCTTATTTATCATCACATCACATCACAGTTAACTATTAAAGCCCATTAAAAAATTAAGATACTAACAATTTTAATCAATGAAATTTGACTTCCTGGAAAGGTTACGTCAACATGTTTGTTTATAAATTCACTAGCTTTTGCCCGCGACTCCGTCCGCGTGGAATAGTTACTTTGACATAACTCTAAATTTTACCCCCACTTCATTTCCGTAGAAAGAGAAAAAAATTATAATTATAGAATGTTAAGGAGCTATTTAAGCCCCGATTTTGAATCATTCTTTATTGGTGCTCCACTTGTATCGGTCATACCGTGATGTTATATAGCCTTCCTCAATAAATGGGCTATCTAATACTGAAAGAATTTTTCAAATCGGACCAGTAGTTCCTGTGATTAGCGCGTTCAAACAAATAAACTCTTCAGCTTTATAATATTAGTATAGATTAGCGGATACAGATAATACAGATGAACGAGGTTGTGAGTTGATGTAACTACCCTCAAAACTATAGTAAAAGTTTATTAAGAAACCGAGAATCTAGAAAAAAAAACTGTTGCCAGTTTTTTTAAATGTCACGAATAAATGTACAATTTATCGTTGACATGTCTCTGTATTTCGTGGTCGTTATATTCGAACTGTATTTTTAGCTTGTGGAATTTAATAATTTTGTTTGCATAATTCGATAGACGAGCACGCCTAGATGACTAAATAACCCCTACTAAAGACAACGCTAAAATGAAACTCATGAATTGTGTATAGTCTATACTAATATTATAAATCTATACTAATTATAAAGAGAAAATATTTGTTTGTTTGTTTGTTTGTATTGAATAGGCACCGAAACTACTGAACCGAATTGAAAAATTCTTTCACTGTTTGGAAGCTATACTATTCGCGACTGACATAGGCTATAATATTTTTTGAAAAAAATTAGCGACCCTTACTAAAACTCCAATAGTGTAACCCAAGGTGTAAACAAATTACCTAAAATATTCTTTACATCGCGTGCCCTGCGAAAACTATTGATGACATAATAGACTAAAATAATGTACTACGACTTTGTAGAACACATTATTATTTACAAAAATGTCACGACAGCATATGTCTAACTATAATAGTTATGCCGCAATAAGTGTTCTTTTGTTTAAAAAAATAAAACAACGTCAAATATCGTAGAAGTTTTTGTGAAGAACGGACCCGAACGGAGCCGGAGCGGGCCGCTATACAAAATAAATACACTGCCTGGATTCAATCCACTCTCACGTGTATCATCAACAACTAAGTCAATCGATTTTAAAATGCTTCGGTTGACGAAAAATTATAAAATGTTTTTAAAAACCTCTATCTTCCCTGTCCTTTGGCTCGAATGGAGCATAAAAGAGTCTGTATATTAGACTGAAAATACCTGTACAATACTTTTTAGTTTATACCCGAAATCGACAATTAGTATTCCGTTTTGTTCTTCCTCTAGAACTAAAGGATTTTTTGAAATAATGTAAAATGTACTTTTACTATGCTTATACTATGTTCTATTCATAAGGTTGGTTGCGGTATACGACACCTTTATACGAAATCTATTGGTATGTAAATCACGTAATTGCTATCTTGGCTGTCAGCGGCAAAAGTCCATCGACTGGCGTTTTTTGGCAAGAAATAACAAACATTTTTCGGGTTAAATTAAAATAACACACCCACTTTACTATGTACATAATGTATGATGGTGTTTAAATAAATATTTGTATTCTTAGCTAAGCGTTAAGAAGCATTCGACTTTTTATAGAGTGCGTGGGCCACACAGTTTCACTCGTGTAACTCCATCGAAAGCTAGCAGATACGAGAAAATCCCTTTTCATTTGCTTTAGAATATTATCTACTTGGTTTCTGTACTTCAACTGTTTGCCGGAGTCAGGTAAATAACGGCGTCAAAGTAATCTTGATCTCGAATATCTTATATTGCTGATTAAATTGCCTTACAACGCTGATATTCCTGGCTGACAGTGAAACCTCCTTTAAGTTCAAAAGCATTAAATATCGATTGAATTATGTCAACGGGTTCCGGTAACTTAACACCAGGTGGGTCTTGAGTTGGTTCGGCCGCGAGGTCTAAGTCGAGAGAAGCTAGTTATATAAAAACTTTTCTCACTTATAAATCGGAACGGTGTGTCACACCAGAAATAGAGCCAAGATAACTAACTATACGAGTTCACAATAGACCCAACTACAAGAAATAAGTGTTTATATTGTTAATGGGACGGGTTGTGATTGCCATATAATCAATATCCATGAATAATTCAAATCTTTTAATGCGAGGATAAAACAAACACGGCCAACAATCACGATCGAAGCTTGCGAATCGTTCGAATTCCTCCTAAAACATACAGTACGCCTTTTGAGGCGTAAACTGACATCTTAAAGGGAGGTTGTCTTACCTTATACGGTTGGCGACGAGGAGCTCGGCGATGTCGCGACCAAGTCGTGAGTAGGCCGATTCTACTATAACAAGTACTTTAGCGTCGATACGAAGTCGGGCGTCCGAACGATGGTCGCGCGCAGCTTGTTGTTGCGAAGCGAGCAATGAACACTGGGTGAGTGGACGCGGGATTCGATCTCGCCACACTAAGCTAATCAAAAAAATAATAAACAAGAAATATATTAAATTGTAGAATGATAGACATTTTCTACTAAGATGGAACACGCGATGACGATATGTATTTACTTCCGTTTAAGTTAAAATGACTTTCAAGAATTTTAAGATAAACAATGAATTTTAACTATGGCTAATTTTTAACATCAAATTTCTTCGTTACAAAAAAAATATGGAGAAATCAATCAAGCACCGCTAAAGTTAAGGCCGCATTTCAACATCCGAGCAGAAGCCACATCAAAGCGCCATTAAGGTTTATCTCAATAGCGTAAAATAAATAAAGGCAAGAATTTGCGGAAATATTTTATCCGTAGGCAGCTGAAGTCCTCTGAGCCGCGGCTGAGACTTGTGGCTCTTTGCTTTAATGAAAACCACGTTTCAACCTACAACGAGAAAACTTTAACGACGAGTTTTATGAGTGTATTGCAAAAGAAACGGATTTTTTTTTTCGAAAATTGAAAAAAGAACACTCTGTTATACCCATTATAATCGAAGTTAAATATATAATAAATTTTTTTTTAAGTGAAAGCGAAAGAAGGCGATCTGAGGGCTCAGCTCATTGCGTTCCGCTAAGGAATTCATTTCAAGCCCACTTTTTGTGAGAAACATAATTATCATAGCGCTGCGGAATACGGAATCTAATTTCAGACATTATACCAAATTGAATTTAAGTAGACACTATCAAACACTGAAATAAATAATCCTCCACTCCGTGGTGTTTTCTTAAGCTTAAGTCCTTAAACCAAATTTGTAGAAACGTATCCAAAACAGCGGGTAATAATTGTTTACCATTGAATGAATCTACTTGCATGCTTTCTACAGTAATGAAATAAGATTTACCTTGATTAAATTGAATATGAAATTTCGAAAAGGGCACATGTCGCATATTTTGTCAAATACGTTTTTTCATATACATGTAGTTTTGAGGCTTACCTACATCCATTTTATAATAATTCCAGTAATTTTCAATTGATAATTAACACTAAAATATATCTCAAAAGTTAATATTTTAAATTTTACATTGCTTTAGAAAATAATCAGTTTTTTTCATTTCCTGAACATTTTACATTTTCAGAGATGTGCTTTTCGAAATTGCATATTCAATTATAGTTCCACTTAAAAGGCAAAATTCACTTCTAGTTGAATAATTCAATTAAATGATAATAAAACAATACCTACTCCTTTAAATGAGAACTTCTTTGCGGAGCAGCTTCCTTTAATTAGGCAGAACACAAGTTTTGCTATAAATCCTACCTAACCGGCGAAACTTACCAGCCCCGTTGCTCATCTTAGCGGTGGTAATTTTAAGCCGATAAAATAAAATATTATGGTCCAAGCTTCGTGACGTTAATTTTATAAATTTACGTTGTAAATAACTGAGAAATGTAAAACGCTGCTTCCTTAATTTAGATTTAGAAGCTACTTTTCGCAGAGTTATTTATAGCAATGCTTACACATAACAATACTAATATTTATGCATTTTTTTATCTAAGCATTGACGTTACTACCATTAACAAACATACAATTTTATTTTAGATACACGTCATATAGCTTTCCACTATTATTTAGTAACAATGATCAAAATGTTAATTTCATTGTAAAGGACGATTATTAAATGTGCTGCTATGAAACGTTAAATAAAACCACGAGAACCAATGACTAACCCCGATATATATTTCCGAAAGATATAAACGACGATGAATGTTGTTCGAACACGATAATTATGTATTATTAATTCATATCAGCAGCGTGTTTTCTGTCGATAGGTAAATTGGATTTTGTGCGAACGAAGCATATTTAATTGAGAATTTTATTCCGTAATTAACCAATTTACAGTTAACATAATTCAAACGTATGTAGATAAATTTCATAGTGAAACTTGTAACAAAATTTAGAGAAACAATCCGGGATAAGCTGTACTAACCTGGTCAGAGGTATTGTGACATAATAGGAGTAAAACAATATGGTGAGGACGGATAGCAGCATGACGCCAGCGACGCATTTTCTGACGTTGACGTGGCTGGCCAACCAGAAGCAACACCGCGGCGCTAACGTCTTATGGTTATGCGAGTATTCGCCACTCCCGCACTCAAGTAATGGAGCGCGAGCGCCCCGGTTTTCGCCCGTCATTCTTAACATTTACACGCACCACTATATTTACACTGAACAGTAACACTTAGGCCTCTAAGGAAAACACTTCTAAACGTCTCTATCTGGGCACCCTAACAGCTGCGTTAGTCCTTGGTGGTGACGTTTTCTGTCGCCACCTGCAGTGTTTCCACATTTCATAGCGCCGCGGTAGGGTATGAGAGTGCGCGTACGCGGGGTGGCAGTATGCGCGCGCTCCGCAATTTATGGCCATCTCGAGCCGACCAACGCGTCAGTTCCCGGTTTAAAAAGGCCGCTGACGCATTTTGGCGGGTTGTGCTCATCACGGCGATGTCGTTCGCTGTTGCTGATAGAGCCTATGGCATCCGTGTCTGACGCCATCCACACTCAGCAGGCCCCTCGGTCATCGATATGATTCTAAAAAAAAAACAAAAAAATTAAATTAATAAAACATTCTACCTTTTACTTAAACATATAAGTTATCGATCCCATTAACGTAAAGGTAGGTAATAACTAATACTGTACCAAAAAGGAAAATTGAACACTGACAGAATTTATCAACATGAATCTCTTTGGTTCGTCGATTCGTCAACATTACGGACGAAAGTCATTTATATTGTTAGACTCACATTGAAATACTACTATGGTCGTGTCGAATGAATAATGAAAGTAATCTTTATATCAGTCTAAAAACTTTTTGGGGTCTAAGGACTCTGAAGCTATATATTTTTATTGCTTGAACCATTGATTTCAATTACAAAATCAATGATGGCATTCACGTTGCTTTGTCTGTGCATCTTATTTTTATCTTCAGTCAATCAAATTGCTGCCACAGAGAAAAGTGTTTGAAAAACACTTAATTTACCGTGGCACCAGTAAACGATGTTCTGTCAATTTCTCTGTGTTCGTTGCTCGACCGACTTGATAAGAAATTTCGAGAATGTCAGTCGCCGTCTTCAGTAAGCGAACGAACCGTAATCGAGGGACTGGAGCATATGTGAATTTCCTCAGTAAAGTCCATTATATAGACATTTCTGGGTTGTAATGAAAGAAAATTTTGTGGAAAGAAAATGTAAATGGATGGTTTGTTTTGTATCAATCGACCTAAAACTTTTTTAGTTATTAAAACTGGAGAACTTTGATTTAATTGTGATTATCGGTTGATATTTTGTATATCGAGCTTGTTTTTCACAGCCTACCTTCCAACCACGACAACAACCTCCATCAGCGGATAGAAACGCGCCTAGAATCTGTGATTGTGCGCCCTTTGAATATTAACTAGCAGATGACCCGCTGCTAAATGAACCACAAAAGGTCTTGAAAGGTCAATTAACGAGCTCACCAAGCCGCATGATAGTTTATTTTTTAACTTAAATTTGTATTCACATCTTCCTTTGTTATGTGTAAAGTTGCTAGGTTTATTTATTTAATTTTCTGTACCAACAAAGTTATAATCAATTCAGAACATCGACGAATTAACATAGAAGACAATTAGACAAAGAAGAAGTCAGCGTGGCCTAAAAGATAAGACGCCCGGTCTATTTATATCAAGCTATGCACCGCTGTTCGAATCCCGCAGGCAGGTGTAAGAATTTTTCTACAGAAATACATACTCCACAAACGTTCACGATTGACTTCCACGGTGAAGGAATAACATCGTGTAATAAAAATCAAACCCGCAAATTTTCAATTTACGTAATTACTGGTGGTAGGACGTCTTATGAGTTTGCATGGGTAGATAGATATCAGCACCCTGCCTATATCTGCCGTGAAGTAGTAATGCGTATCGGTATGGAAGGTGGAGCAACCGTTGTATTGTAAAATCTGAGAACTAAAAATTCACGCTTCAAGGTGGGCGGCGGCATTTACGTTTTAGATGTCTATGGGCTCTGGTAACCGCGTTACACCAGGTGAGCTGTGACCATCCAGGCAATTAAAAAAACCATAAATTTCATGTCATACAATTAAATCAGTGCAAGCGGATAGCTCTGAGCGACCATTAACGAAGACCCTGCTGCCGTGGTTTCTAAGGATTTTAGGATAGATTAGATGAAATTAGATACTCTAGCAACATGATCTTCAGAAAGTGAATTAAAAGCGCACTACTAAATCACATTTAATAATAATACCGTTTAATTTCGCGTTTGTTTTCTTCATTTGATATTTTCACGTTTTGAATACTCCAGTTCTGTGGTCGGAAAAGTCCAGTCAGTTAGTTACCAGTCTACGAATCATATATCTCAAGATTAAGTTGTTTTAAAAAAAATAATCGTTTCAATGATTATTTTGAAAAATGCCACCAGATCAGTGTCAGTTAAAATATTTTGCAAGCATTTCATTGTAAGCGTAATTAATACGAAGACAAACGAGCAAGTGTAGCGTGATGAAAAAAAAACCCAGGGAGCTGTTAATTAAAAGCCGAGAAAAAGGTTTAAGAACGTTTATCTGGCTGGGTTACAATTTTTCCTGGGACGAAATTTCGGAGAAAGAAATGTAAGGACAATGAGTGGCTTAATTGGGGTGTACTGAAGTACGGTTGCAATTCATCATGGCCCATCTATTCGGAAAATTCCTGTTTTTTTTTTAAATACACTTGGCTATTTAATGAAAAATCAAATCAATGCCCGAACAGATCCAAACTATTGTAATAGTTGTGAGAATTAAGTGACATTGTCAAAACCATGTAAACCGGAAACTGGTTGACAATATTTGCGATATGTCGATATCTATACTGACACGGAACATTACACGCGAATCTGTACTTAGATACCGATGCATTAATCTCATTACATAGACTAAGCGTTAATGATATGGACAGGTTATCGACCGGAACAATTTATGGAGCTGCTGAAATTAGTTATCATCTTAGTATATCCTCCATATTTCGTACAAAAATTGACTTGCAGTTAGTTGTCTAAGGCTAAATGATAAAATGCCCTGTATTTCAATCGAGCACTGGTACTATGCGGGTGTTGAAATACCGCTGCCAGGTACCAAATTTTGTGGGGAAATACTTACTTAGCTGGTATTTTATAAGAAAAAATTGTACTTGCTTGCGGGACTCGAACACCGGCTCAGTTGCATTGCTTGATCCGATTGCACAGGGCGTCTTATCCTTTAGGCCGCGACGACTTCATGCATTCCGGTTCGTAGAGTGAGACAGTCGATATGCTTACAATTCATTTGAGAGTACGACCTTATATCTCAAGGTATGTGACGGCATTTACGTTGAGATGTTTATGAGCTTCCGAAACCATTTAACGCCACGTAGACCGAGAGCTCGTACACTCACCAATGTAATAAATAAACAAAAAAAATACATTTCACGAAATCTTATTCGATATACCTACCTACTATTGTCATAAACAAATCTTTCCGTTAACAATGTTTTCTTTTCACGTGTTTTAGTTAGTTAGTTATTCACTTTGTTATATCGAAGTTAAAGACAATGCTGTCGCGGTTGAAACGAAGGGACGGGACCAAGTTATTATAACTTTGCTCGTTCACCACACCTCGTCACACACCCGTTCCAAATCCCGCATAATAATACCACGGCTAAACGTGAAACTCCTATAATGTGCGGTTCACACTTCTAAAATATTGGGACGTGCGAACCAAAAGATACGTTGACAATGACAGGGGTTGTCGAATGCCATTAAATGTTACGAAAGTGGACAGATGGTAGAGGTCGGACGGAGTACGATGGTCAGTTTTGTAGTACATTTATTCCCTCACGATATACTGTGCTTTAAAATAACAACACACTTAAAATTTCATGTTTCAGTCATAAAATGTTGGATATGAAATGACAAAGGATTAAAGGAACGATAACATTGCAGAAATGTCATCATTAAGGCCAGGGAGATGAAACCCACAATTCGCCCGCATATTAGGTCAAGATTAATTGCCCCTAACATCATCTGTCAACCCGAAGGGACATTCGTGGACGTTTTGTTTGCTGTACAAATCGCGTTACATATCGGTCTTGTAGAAAATTGTATATGTATAACGTGGATCTATTTAAAATGGAAATAATTAAAATACAACATGAAAAATGGAACATACGATAGGACATTCAAAGTGAATTAAAGGGTTACAAAAGACTAATCATTTCAGTATGTTACAAACATTTGAATTTTGCACAAGAATAATTGATGCACAGCATTTAGTATTTATTATAATCGAATCCCATTAATTATTTCTAAGGTGAGTTAGTATTAAAATTCATAATCATCCTAATCTCCTTAGGTCAGGCAAAGGTTACCTAAAGTGCTTTTCTATCACATTCCTTCCCGGGGATTATGCATCACCCAGTAAAAGTGTGAATTAAGATATAATTATTATTATTCATTTATTTTATTCATAGCGTTACCGAGTGTATTCGAAAACGTTGTTGTCTATGTCTGTTACCTGATTATTTAATTTGCTAAATGCACGCTGCAGGCCGTACAACAATCAAGGGCTAATTGTGATTCCGCTAATTTGCATTGGCGTGACGACTTGCCTCCAGTTGCCAGCCGACGCTTCTGTTTGTTTTACTTCTCTCATTTCCGCTAACGTTTATTTGCGTTACATTTACAAACGAGAAATACTCGAGATAAAATTAGCATTGTTTATTTTGTCCGATAACGTTTATGCGATCGAATAGTTTTTACATTAAATTTATCTATTCATTTTGAAATCTTAACATTAGAAGCTGCTTGTGAATCATCCTATAGCTGGTTGCTGTGAATTATTGCCACTTAGTCGTATCTAGTTGATGAAAGACAATCAGTTCTTGTTTCAATATTGATTTCGTGTTTCTACATAAATTAGAGCTATGAATTATAGCGTTAGATTATAACAAACGGTGCGGATGATATCTCCACAGCAGTTCTGAATACACGTCTTGCTTGATTCAAATAATAAAGGTCGAAAATCTCGAAAAGAAACTGAGATAGGAAATGCATCTGATATGTTCACAAATCTTGAGCTATTCATTCCGTTATTTTCTTTAAATTACTAACTTTATTCTTATTCGCAGATAACAATAATTAACTATCATCATCATCATCATCAACCTTAAACAAAAAATAATCAGGATGTAGTTAGGCACTTTTTCGTTCATTAGAATAGTTTTAATTTTTTTGTTCTGAAACGAAGTTTTCTAACGCGACTTGTAGTGGAGGTTGACTAATAGACATTGTCACGTTAAAGACAACGTTAAAAATGAACGCTCTTTACTTAAACAAATGTGACCATGTAAAGAATAAAAAGACTCTAGGTCTTTTCGCAGGTATATAAATGAAATTTGCTGCAATAGGTGGGCCGTTAATCCGTCTATAAGTGATCAGTAAAAAAGACGAGCGATTTGTTTAAAAAAATGTATCTGTCATAATATTTGAACTCAAGAAGAGCACACAATTTGATATGAGTAC